GGAGGCGAGCCCCCCCCCCCCAGGAGTATATAAGGAGCCCCAGGCTGGGGGCGACAGTATTGCAGTCTGGTTTCAGCCCAGCCCAGCACCTCCTGCTCTTGTCTCTCCTGCTTGCTAAGAACTCACAGGCACAGGACTGCCTGGCCATGGCCACTGCATTCCTGCAAACTTCTTCTTCCACCTTCGGGGGTGGCTCTACCCGAGGGGGTTCCCTCCGGGCTGGGGGAGGTGGCTTTGGTGGGGGGAGTCTCTATGGAGGAGGTGGGAGCCGAAGTATATCCGCTTCTTCTGCTAGGTTTGTTTCCTCGGGGGTGGGAGGGGGCTATGGGGGTGGCATGAGCTGTGGCTTCGGTGGGGGCACTGGCGGTGGTTTTGGTGGAGGCTTTGGAAGTGGTTTCGGTGGGGGTTTTGGTGGCGGCTTTGGTGACTTTGGTGGTGGCGATGGAGGGCTCCTCTCCGGCAACGAGAAGATTACCATGCAGAACCTTAATGACCGCCTCGCATCTTATCTGGACAAAGTGCGAGCCCTGGAGCAGGCCAACACTGAGCTGGAGGTGAAAATTCGAGACTGGTATCAGAAGCAGAGCCCAGCCAGTCCGGAACAAGACTACAGCCACTACTTTAAGACCATGGAAGAGATTCGGGACAAGGTAAGTCCCCAGCTGTCAAAGAGGGGAACAGGTGGCGTGTATGCTGCTCATACCTGTAACATCGTTGTTTTTGCTAAGAAAGTCCTTTCCTGCCCGAGCAATGACTGATGTGTGATTGGGATGCACCTGTGCGTCTGGTGCATGCTGGGACACATTATTTGTTCCACTTTTCAGTGTTAGGGGAGTGAGAAGTCTTGGGAATCTGGTTAGGACCCATGGGGGCACAGGTGGGGGCAACTTCACCCCACTTATCTTGCAGGATTCTTTGTGAAATATTACTCTTATCTCCTTGGCCAAAATGCTGTGAGTGTAGCCTCCTGAGTCCTAAGTGCTGGGATCCTTTGCTTTAGCCTTTAAGGATGTCTTTGTTGTTGCAAGCGTCATTGGAATGAGGGAATTCAGCACAGGTTCTGTCACCCCCTCATTTCCCCTTTTACTCCCTGGGTCTGTTTTCCTTAAATACAAATGCTTTCCTTAGCTGCTGTCCGGATTCCCACTGGCCACAGTGTTCTGTAGACAAGGGCTTTGTGGAGGCATGCAGGAGGCAGCCACTGTGAGCTGTGCCCAAGGAAGCTGGTGGTGAGTCTCTGCGAGAGCTCTCACCAGAGCCAACTGTATCCACCGCAGCACAGCCTTGGCCAGCCGGGTCCCACAGGAGGTTCCAGGCCATGATGCCTCCTTGGTCTTCCAGGTCCTGAAGATGTCACAAGGAAGGTGGCATGGATCAGTACAAGTAATGCACACAGGAAGTGAGGCTAGGACTCTGCAGTGGAGGTGGTCCATAAAGGGAACTTGGGCAGAGGATAGGAAAGCTATTGCCCTTATGCACAACTTTGTCTCTTGCAGATCCTGGCTGCCACCATTGACAACTCACGTGTCATCCTGGAGATTGACAATGCCAGGCTGGCTGCAGATGATTTCAGGCTCAAGTACGCACTCTCACTGTATATCCCCTCCCTGTCTCAGCCCTATCACCTGACCTTCCTCTTTCCCGACTCTGCGGCTTGGACCACCTCACCCTTCCTGACTTTGGCTCCCTCCCTCTCTCCAGGTATGAGCATGAGCTGTCCCTGCGACAGGCGGTGGAGGCTGATATCAACGGCCTGCGCAGGGTGCTGGATGAGCTGACTCTGGCCAGGACTGATCTGGAGATGCAGATTGAGAACTTGAATGAGGAGCTGGCCTACCTGAAGAAGAATCATGAGGAGGTGATGGTGGAGCGGGGTGGTGGGAAGGAGAGCAGGACGGCTGCTGTTTCCTCACAGCTGGCTAAAGGCTTGGTGGTTCAGAAATGCACCCCAAAGGTCCCTATGGAGGGGAAGAGCACTGTTCTTTGGTGATATGGACCCAAGCTGCAGTTACCTATAAACTGAAGACTTGCTTTGCTTCCTGGGCTTATTGTCCCCAGGGTCCTTACTTCATAAGATCTAGAGCAGGAAAGCTCCTTAGAGCTGGGAGGAGTCCATGAGATCCAATCTCTTTTTGTGCAGTGGGGAACAGAAGTCGGAAGAGTTGTGTGCCAAGGTCACTCTGTGAGTTACGGACAGAACCAAGATTTGGCCCTCAGGATCCTAGACTCTCAACTCTGTTCTGTACCCTCTGTCTCTAAATGGTCTCCCCCTATCTCTGCAGGAGATGAAGGAGTTCAGTAGTCAGCTGGCTGGCCAGGTCAATGTGGAGATGGATGCAGCACCTGGGGTGGACCTGACCCGCATGCTGGCCGAGATGAGGGAGCAGTATGAGGCCATTGCGGAGAAGAACCGTCGGGATGCAGAGGCCTGGTTCTTTAGCAAGGTGGGCCCGATCTCACAGCTCTGCCCTGCCCCCACTCCTCACTCCCCAGGTCTCTGAGGAGGCCCATGGGGCTCATGTCTCTTATGTGTGACCTTCAGACTGAAGAGCTGAACAAGGAGGTGGCATCCAATACAGAAATGATCCAGAGCAGCAAGACGGAGATCACAGACCTGAGACGCACCATGCAGGGCCTGGAGATTGAGCTGCAGTCCCAGCTTAGCATGGTATGGCTACCCTGGCCTCTTGAGTGACACATGTGCCCATCTTCCATGGCTGGTAAAGCCTCGACCCACTTCAGTGGTCATTCTGGGCACTCCGTCCCATCCTTCCTACCCCTCTATCTGCAGCAGGTTTCCTTCTAGCCTGGTGTGTCTATGGATGTGTTTTGCCACTAGAAAGCCGGGCTGGAGAATTCTCTGGCGGAGGTCGAGTGCCGCTATGCCACACAACTGCAGCAGATCCAAGGGCTCATTAGTGGCCTGGAGACCCAGCTGAGTGAACTTCGCTGCGAGATGGAGGCTCAGAACCAGGAGTACAAGATGCTGCTGGACATCAAGACACGGCTGGAGCAGGAGATCGCCACCTACCGCAACCTGCTTGAGGGCCAGGATGCTAAGTAAGGGCACAAGTGTAGGGAGAGGAAGGAGAGGACGCATGGGCTGGGGTGCAGGGACATCCAAAAGGGACAGCAGAGTGTCCCCAAGAGCTGCACTGTTGAGTGGAAAGAGATCTAAGTAAGGGGTCTGGAGTCTGTGTTCTGGTGTTTGGCTGTTGCCTTGGGTAGGTCACCTCCCCTGGACCTGTGCTAGTCTTTAAGGTTTAATCCTCCTTCCATTCTCTGTGTGAAATGGACAGGCCATTATTACAGATCTGAGTCTGTCTGCTTGGCGGTGGCAGGCTTGATGGACCATGGGGATGTCCTAGCTCTAGGGGAAGTCATGTGTGGGGCTGGGGATGGAGAGGAAGGCTCAGCTGTCCACCGGGGCTTCCATTATGGAGACTGGAGCTTTCTCCCTTCACTAACATCTGCTGTCCCTTCTCTTTCAGGATGGCTGGCATCGGCATCAGAGAAGGTAGGGAGGGTTATGTCTTCTGGTGTGGGTGGGGAGCAGATTGTTGAAGCTGCCATTCCCCTTGGAATAGGGAGGAAGAAAAAGAGACCAAATATCTCAATAGGTACAGGTTCTCCTATTTCAAGACGTGGTTCTTCCCCATGAACCCCAGGTGGGACTGAGACTCGAAGTTTCCTGAGAATATTCCAGGCTTTGTTCAGGGCTTGTCTTTCTACCAGGTCCCATCTTCACTCACATGTGTGAAGATGCCCACAGTTATTCCTGTTCACAGGAAGCTTAAATAACCTTGTATCATTGCCCACTGCAGAGCATACCTGAGGTCACCATTGCCAGCCTCCGATGAGTAATTCACCAGACCTCCTGGCGGCACCAGTGGGATTGGCCAGTGGGCATTCTCAGGGGTGCTGTCCGTTTTTCCAGAGCCCAGGCCAGTTCCTGGCTAACTCAGGAAAGAGAGGGGAAGTCCTCCATGATGAAGCTTGCTCTTTGTTTCTGCAGCCTCCCTTGGAGGTGGTGGCGGTGGTGCCAGCAGCAGTAGCAGCAGCAGCAGCAATTTCCGCATCAACGTGGAGGAGTCAGTAGATGGAAAGGTGGTTTCCTCCCGCAAGAGAGAAATCTAAGCTCCTGTTGCAGGAGAAAAGACCCTTGCCACCCCCGCCCTTCCCAGGCTGAGAGGGGTTGGAAAAGCAAAATCCAGCCTGTGCCTCAGAGAGTGGCCTGCTGAAGAGAGTCCCTCTGTTTTCCCGTTTGGGGCTCTGCATGTTCCCCCATTCTCTGCTTCCATGTGAACACAGAGACGCAAGAAGCAGCCTATCTTTGTATGGTGTCTGTTCCTGCAATAAAGAATTGCTTTTCTTTTTGCAAATACCTCTTGGTCATGTGTCCAATTTTTCTTGGTGGGGTCCGCATTGGCATCTGAGTTCTGAGGGAGCCCAGGGTCATCATTCTGACATCTGCTTCCGTGTTGACTTTACCCCTGACGATCACGTGTAATTCATTCTTTCAAGTGTGTTGGGTGCTGTAGCCCCACAAAGTGCTTGCTGTTCTGCCTTACCCTATGGGGGTGATTGCGGAAGTGGGGCTGGGGCAGTTCCTAGGGCACGTTGGGACACCTAGCACAGAACACGTCTAATAATTCCTTTCTAATATTGACTGCCATGCATGAGTGTTTAGCTGGTATTGTGCTAGGCACACTCACCCACATGTCTGATTCAATACAGTCTAGGTAGCTAGATTTGTCCTTTGCATCTTAGAGATGAAGATCCTGCTGTTGGGAGAGATGAAGGGCTTGCTTGGTGGCCTGAGTGATGGGCAGCAAGCAGTGGGGCTGAACTGGGTCTCATACTTCATAACCAGAGCTTGCTCCGGCATCCTGGGCCATGGTCCTTCAAGGCTGTTGCAGGATCCTGCTCCTGACTTCTGCCTTTACCTCACATACTGCTTGAATGTTCCCTTCTTTCTAAGGTGACCACCCAATTCCATCTCTGCTCCTCTGTAAAGCTGAACCCTCTGAAGTTGACACTTCCTCCTAAAAGGCCCATAACTTATTCGGAGGGAAAGACTGTGGCTCCAGGAAGCCCTCCTTGATTTCCCTAAGCTCAAGTCTGAAACAAGGCTAGCCCTTGTTGCCTTCCTTGACCCACATCCTTGTGCCTGCTCCCATCCCCAGCATCTCCCCGGGGCCTGCCTCTCATCTGTTCTAGTTCCTGTGAGCCCAGAATTCGTAGCCCTGAACAAAGTATAGGGAAAGAGGGAGTGGTGAGATTTGGGTGCCTCAACTGGGCTGGGTCAGGCCCTGGGGCCAAGATTGGGGGTGGGGAGGGAGAATTGGTTTCTTCTAACAGGCAGAGTAGGCTGGAGAGGGATCTGCTTTCCCGAGAATCTGATCTTTAAGGGAGGAGCCAAACCCTCACAAAGGGTCACCATTGTCTCACTGGGCAAAGCCTCTTCTCCTCAGATCCTGAATGGAGAGGTTAGTGTCTGCTTTTCTGGGGAGTTAGACTGTGTCTCCTGACAGCACACGGAGGTCAGATTTCCTTGGACTGGCAGAATGAGAGTCACTGAGTGTCTATAGTGTGCTGGGCCCTGGGCAGGGCAGTTCATGCTGCCATCACAGTAATTCTCCCAACAGCCCCATGAAGCTGTGACAACCTCCGGTGTCAACTTCCAAAGAGGAAATTGAGGTCCAGGAATGTGAAGTCACTTGAATGAGGTCATAAGCCAGAAATAGCAACAGTGGATCTCAGATGAGTCTCTCTGACCCTAGTCCCTTGCTGGAACACTTAAGAGGGTGTGCTCATTGGATCCTATTCTTGACTTCCAAGGCAGCCTGTTCAGATGTCATACAGCCATGGCTGTCAGAAAGATGGTCCTGGTATCTGGCCTTAATCTTTCATGCTGTGGCTTAAGCATGCATGGAAGCTCATGACATCAACTCTGTATCTCTCCCTTTTCCATCCTGGAACAATGAAGCTCTGTCCCAAGTGTCCTTTGGCCCAGTGGCCTGGCTCTTGCTCTACTTCTCTGCCTTTGGGCATCTGAGGACCGGTTCCAGGCCTTCTGAACCAAGCCAGCAAGGGTCTTCTCTGCCTTCAGTTTGCAAGCACGACTTCTGCAAAAGGTACAGCAAGGCAAGAGAGGGCGCAGTCCCCAGGCCGCTTACTCTGACAGCCAGACCCTGAGTTTGGGGGAGAAGGAGAAGCTGCCTCTCTGGCCAGTGAGATGGCTCAGTAGATAAGGTGCTTGCTGCCTAGCCTGACACCTAAGTTTGATCTCTAGGACCCACATGCTATGAGAAAGCCGACTCTTGTAGGTTATCCTCTGACCTTCACATGTTTGCTGTGTGCCCCCCAATAATAAAGTAAAAATAAGAAAAAATGGGAAGAGACAGAGACACACACAGAAAGAAGTTGCTTATGTCTCTTTGGAGTACCTCTTTCTGTCTTTAGTTCATCCCTTCCTTCCTTCCTTCCTCCCTCCCTCCCTCCCTCCCTCTCTCTCTCTCTCTCTCTCTCTCTCTCTCTCTCTCTCTTTCTTTCTTTCTTTCTTTCTCTCTTTCTTCTTTTTTCTTTCTTTCGGCCTCACAGAGCCCAGACTGGCTTCAGACTCACTATGTAGCCAAGAATGACATTGAACTCCTGATCCTTCTGCCTCCACCTTCTGTGTGCTGGAGGTGTGTGCTACCACACCTGGCTCAGAGTGCTTCTTTCTGCTACCTGGGATCTTTAGTGGTGCTGTCAGATATGTCCTTGGCACTTGCCAAGTCTTGTCCCCTGGAGATGCTGCACCCCGGGACGGCTCACGCTCTGCTGAGCCCTTAAATAGTCTCTGGGTATAGATGGCACACCTTCTGCCCAACCTGGGCTGAGGCCAGGCTTGGTTTCTAGACAACTAGGGAAGCAGGAAGCAGGCAGCGCTGAGAAGGAGAGAGAAAGAGAAAGAGAGAGAGAGAGAGAGAGAGAGAGAGAGAGAGAGAGAGAGAGAGAGAGAGGCTTTGGGACTGAAGGTTAGGACTTTGGGCATGTCTTCTGCTTAGACTGGGTTCCCAGTGCAGGCACAACACATGCCTACCATATTTCCCTGAAGATATGGCTGGTCTCTGTCCTTCTCTGGGTCTCAGTTTCCCTACCTGTAGATCAAGGAGTCTGGCTGGACACCATGAGCACCAGCTCTCTATGAGGCCTCAGAAAGGTGCCTGGCCTGAGGGATTGGTGACAGCAGCCACTGTGTGGCTGTTATATAAATGGTTGAACTTGTACATGGACTTGTTTCTCCTTCACATTTTCCTGACTGATACATTACTCTGGACAGTCTCTAGTCTCTTGGGTATGAGCCTGCCTGGTAGTCACCAGCATGGGCAATTAGGGGAAATAGGTCCAGCAGGGACAGCTTTCCCCCTGAGATTTGGAGCCGGGGTAACCTACTGAATGCTGCTTCTGTGTTCCATGCCTCCACTCTTGTGCCCACAGACAAAGAATCCCCCAAACAGCTTCTCTGGGCCTCCCTGCACCAGGAACAGCATTTGGAGATGTAGCTAAGGATGGGCTGAGAGGAATGAAGTAGAAACCATCTGTATTCTGCCTGATTGCTGTAGGCACCATGTTGGCTGCTGGGACCAGGGAGGGAAGGAAGTGAATCCTTATGTCAGTGCAGGGTGGATGCTCAGGAGGATTTTCAGACTGGTCATCTAACAATGACTTTGTATTTCTTCACAAGGAACAGGCAGATAATAACAACCCTCTTCCTGACCCGTGCCTCCTGCATCTCGGGTATTTGATAAACCTGAACTCACTCATCTAATACCTGGTTTTCAATTGTAGCTATGGAGACACTGGTAGGTTGAGTAACTTTCTTAAGGTCACACAGCTGGTCGGTGGCCAACAGAGGCTTGAAACTCAGGTTCATCTCATCCGAAGTGCTGAGTTTCTGGGAAGTGCAATTGACATAGAGGGATTTTAAAATTAGGCACCCTGGCCATGCAAGGGCCTGAGGCATTGAGGTTAGTAACTTCTGAGCAGTGGTGTGCCAAGCAGGTGTCTCTGAGGAGGGGAATCTGTCCTCAAGGCCTGGGGGGAGGGTCTGCCTCTCAGGAGAGGACCCTCCCTTTCAGGGAGTCTTGAGACCTTTACTGGGAGGGGGTGGGCCAGTGGTCCTGGCATCTCAATCCCATGGAGTCCAGGGAGAGAGGGAGGAGGAATCTGCTCCTCATAAGATGCTGCAGTAGGAGCTGGGGGACAGGGTACAAATCTCAGTTCTGCACATGAGCAATCTGGTGTGGATGGATACATAGCTGAGGATCAGAGACTTGGAAAGACAATGTACTGAAGGCAACTTAGGGATGGTTCATTGTGAGGCCCATGGGAAGCAGGCAGCAGAGGTGAAAACCCTTGTGTTTGTTCTTGTTTCCCACCTTTGTGGCCGCAGGTCTTACTTTTCCCAAAAGTGATAGGGTGTTGGAAGGGAAAGTTCAAATGACAATCCTGGACTGAAAGAGTTCTTCCACAAACCCCTGAGTTTTGGAGCTCAGACCAGGGACAGACAGTCGAAAGGCAGACACTGAAAGCCATTAACTGCACAGGTCTAGGACTGTGCACTGGCCGGGTACTGGAGAGGTCTAGGCATGGGAAAGCCAACAGATGATGAGTTTGCTTGGATGGGATAGAACTAGCACTCAGAAACCTGAGTACCCCACCAGTAGGTATGGGAGATGGAGCAATTTAAAACTTGACTTTGGGGCTGGAGACATAGACTACTGGTTAAGGGCACTGGCTGGTCTTCCAGAGGACCTAGGTTTGGTTTTCAGCACTTACATGCTGGTTAACAACTGTCTATAACTCCAGTTCCAGGGCATCCAGTGTCCTCTTATGGCCTCTGCAGATGTTGCATGACCCAGGTGTATTTACATACATGCAAGCAAAACACTCATACGTATAAAATATGAAAATAATAAATAAAATAAAATTAACTAAAAAACTTTGACTTTGAAGTGTCCTTAGTAAGCGACTTTCTTTCCTGAACTCACCTGCTTCATCTAAAAAGTGGGGCTAACGGATGGCAGTGTAAAGAGATCTGCATAATGATAAAACCAGTTAACATGCCAAGGTGGCTAGGGGAAATGTCACAGAGTCCCACCTCAAGTTGAAGAGAGCTACAGGTAATCAATGGATGCTGAGGAAGGGAGAATCAGCTTTCTTCCAGGGACTAGCTCTCTGAGAGGTTATCTAATCCCAAATGGACAGCCCTAAGCACAGGTACATACCAGAACTGCTGAATGGACCAAGTGCATCATCATACACACATATGTGCATATATACAAATGTATGTATGTATATGTAACAATAATGATCAAAGAAGAGGACAAGAGATTGAGAGGACGTGGGGGGACATGCGAGGAGTTGGTGGGGGGACTGAGAGGGATGGAAATAATGTAAAGACAATACTCACATGGAATTCTCGAAAATAAGCTGGGTGTGGTGGCACATGCCTTTAATCTCAGCACTTGAGAGGCAGAGGCAGGTGGATCTCTGTGAGTTCAAGGCTAGCCTGGTCTACATAGTGAGTTCCAAGTCAGCTGGGGCTACAGGGAGACCCTGTCTCAAAAAATAATAAATTTCTACTTTTAAACAGACAAACCAAAAAACTCAGGGCTGAAAACCCTCTTGGGCTGGGGATTTAGCTTAGTGGGTAGAGTGCTTACCTACCACACATAAAGTTCCAAGTTTGAGCCCCAGCATGGCATGAACTCAGTGTGGTGGCACATATATATAATACTTGGAAGGTGGAAACAGGAGGATCAGAAATTCAAGATCATCCCTAGCTACATAGTGAGTTTGAGGTCAGTTTGAGATTTACATGAGACCCTGTCTCAAAAGAAAAATTATAAAACAAACAAAAATAACCCTCTCCTTCCATGAGACTAAATGACAATGTGTTAAGCTTGGCTATGAATGTAGTTGTCCCTTTCCTTCACTGAATTTGGTTTTATTTTGTTAAAGAGCAAAGCAGAAAGCTGATGACAAGCCAACCCCAGTTCCATGAGACCTAGGTTGGAGATTGGGTCTCTGCCTAACTTCTTTCAGGAGAGCCTGGCCTGTGTCTCCTGTCCCATGGGCCCTGGGGAGTCACAGTATGTGGGTGTATTGGAGGAAGGCATTCCTGCAGCAAGACACCATGAGTCCCTCCTGGGAGGGAGAGGCCAGTGCCCTGACCCTGGGAGGAGAGATATGTCACAGCCACCTGTGTTTGCTATGCTGGGGCTTTGGAGGCTCTGCAGAATTGTTACTTCAAGAGGCGTTGGCTCCAACCTGCTTGTCAGCCCCAGGGATTGGGCCATTGTCACCTCAGGCCTGGCAGGTTTCATTAATCATCTTTTTGTTAGTTTTGATCCTTCATGGAGAGAGCATGAGCTCTTGCTTTGGGCTGAATTACACCCTTTCAGTGAGAGAGCTGAGCCATCAGCTTGGAGTGGAGGGCTGGGCAGAGTCAGAGGTCACCCCCAATCCTGGCTTCTCTGTGGTGTTTGAGTACCCCAGCATACCCCAGGTCTTGCTTTGGCAGGGCTACCTACCTTCTGGGTAAACATGGGCCCATTTCCCAACCTCCAAACACAAAGGTCCTCACTCAGGGCTCCCTTTTCTGATCTTGCTGAGTCAGCAAAGGGGATTTTGGGATAGTTCAAGCCTGTGCCACTTTATCTCAAGCCCCTGCCTGTGTCATCCAGACCCTTGTACTGCTGTGGCTTAGACACCTACTCCCAAGAGGCCATTTATAGCAACAACATTCCTTTTTGCTTAGGGGCTGGAAACCTAGATCTTCCCGTCTCAGCTGTGGAAACTTCTGTCCTACCCCCTGTTCTGAGAGGACCCTCAAAGCCTGTTCCTCCAGCCTGAACAGCAAGGCCTCCTTTAACAGTTTCTCTACGAAGTCCTTGAGCTTCTCAGCCGTACCCTGGGGTCTTTAGAAGAGACCCTTGCCCCAGCCTTTACGTCACATCTTCCCATGTGGTCTCTTAGATACAAACTGGGACAGATACCATGGGAGAAGGCCCTCGCTCAAGAACCAGAGTCTTCGTTCCAAGTTTTAAGGGACTCCTAAAGCAGCTAGTATAATGGAATGTTATATGTGTTAGGCTGATCAGGGCTTCCAAACCCCAACATATGGACCTTTGGGGCATAGTCATTCTTTGTTGAAGGCTCTTTCCTGCACATTGCAAGATATTAAGTAGCATCCCAGAAGCATCATCCAATTGGGACAAATAAAATGACTCTAGACACTGTCAAATGTTCTCCAGGGAGCCAAGGAGCCTCTGGTAGAGAACTTTCTGAACTGATCTCTGGTGGCAGAGTTGGAAGAATGGTTTTATCAGGGGTGTGGGGTACTGGGTAGCTATTTGGAAAAGGTACCAGGAGCTTTGAAGAGTAAAAAGCTCTGGATAGTGGTTACACAGGGGCATGCTTAAGTAACGATGCAATTGAACTCTTATGACTGTATGAAAAATAGACCTAAAACTGAGTTTTAGTGTCAGGTGGAACCGGACTCAGGGTGCAATTCTGCTCCTGCCTTAAGGCCCAGTTCTCTTGTGTGTAAAGTGATGGATAATACAGGAGCCACCTCTTGAGGCTGCCACAAAAATAAAATGAGATTGGATATAGGACCAGCAAGATAGCTCAGCTGGTAAACAGGCTTGCAGCTAAAGCTGATGACTTGAGTTTGATCCCTGCGGCCCATACAGCAGGACAGAACTGACTCCGAAAGTTCTCCTCTGACCTGCATAGTGCACCGTTCCCTCCCGCCTCGTCCACAAAATAGTCAATTGTAATAAAAAAAAATAAAAAAGAAATTGAGTGTAAAATACTTGGGCTCTAAGATATTAGCAGGGTCCCTCCTCTTCCTGTGCCTCAGTGTCCTCAGCTGTGTCTGCTCTTTGGGGTCCCCTAAGATCTGTTACTACTGCTTTTTACCACCATTTCTTTCTCAGCTCAAACATGTTCACGAAGGTTGCTTCTTTGAGACCAACAAAGTTTCTCATCAGAGTTATTGGGAGCACTGGCATAGATGAAGTGGTAAAGGGGTTCCGGAACATTCCATCCAGATGTTTTAGAGACAGAAGTGGAGCTGAGGGTTGTGGTGATTTTCCCTAGCACAGGGTCACTTTGGAGCCTGGGCTTCCTCCGAGGAGGCTCTCTGGCAGACCGTTGCAGCTCAGTCCCCATCCTAAAACCGGGTGGGGCTGACAGCCTGGGAGGGAGCTTCTTACCTGGAAAGGTGAAGTACATTCACTTGTCAAAAGGGCAGTCTCAAGCAGAACGCTGTTCCCTCTGAATCATCCCTTTTGTTAAGGATTTAAAAAAAAGCCACCCCCAAAGATGTAACCCACCCTGGAGAGTAGAGGCAACTGGGCTTGTGGGAAATGAGGAGCAGTTGGCACCAAGTCAGAGGGTGGGGAAGGGAGGAGAGAAGATGTCCCACCCCCTTGGAGGGCGCATAAAAGGTGTCCACAGCAGGGAAGAGCCACCGTTCTCGGCCTCTGCCAAGTCCAGCTCCTGTCTGCAACTGCTCTAGCTCTTGCTTCCATCATGAGCTGTCGCCTGAGCTCCTCTACCAGCTATGGAGGTGGTTTTGGGGCTGGTTCTTGCCAGCTTGGAGGAGGCCGTAAAATCTCAACCTGTTCCTCCCGATTTGTCTCTGGAGGATCAGTTGGAGGCTATGGAGGTGGCATGAGCTGTGGCTTTGGTGGAGGTGCTGGTAGTGGTTTTGGGGGTGGCTTTGGAGGTAGCTATGGCGGGGGTTTCTGTGGTGGCTTTGGTGACTTCGGAGGTGGCGATAGCGGCCTCCTCTCTGGCAATGAGAAGATCACCATGCAGAACCTCAATGACCGCCTGGCCATCTATCTGGAGAAGGTGCGAGCTCTGGAGGCGGCCAATGCTGATCTGGAGGTGAAGATTCGTGACTGGCACATGAGGCAGAGCCCAACCAGCCCAGAGCGGGACTACAGTGGGTACTACAAGACCATCGACGAGCTCCGGACCAAGGTGAGGCCTTTGCTGCTGGGAAGGGTTCCTCTGTGCAGGACAGAACCTTCAAAGCCAGGGCACGTGGAATCTCAGAGGACCAGGTGTGGACGGAATTCTCTTCTTGCAGAGGGGAGTTTCTAACCTTGTACTACCAAGAATCTCTATTACTGAGATTTTCTCATGTTTGATGTCAAATGCATTCTTTTCCAATCTTTATGCTTATTGATATTATCACTCATGTCGATTTTCTTAGGCTTCCTGGACAGTTCCAAAGTCTTTGTGACTTGATCACTGTGATCCTAACCTACAGAGTTATTTGGAGACATGAATGTTTAAAAAGCCACTGTGAATAGTTAAAATCAACTGAGAAAAGACATCTTTATTCATTGTCATGGGAATAACAGTTTATTTTGGAAGAGCCTCATGTAAACTCTTATTCTCTATGAGTGATGACTCAGTGGGGGATAAAGAGGCAGGGGCTCAGGTGATACAGAGCCTGAATGCCCTCAGTGAGGCCTGTCAGTCAGGCTGTGACACCAACTTGTCAGAGCAGAAACCTACCAAACTGGGCCAAGCTCCAGTCTTTCAGGGTGGGCTTTAAGTGCTTTATGCCACAAATGCTTCGACAAGAAGTACAAACGGACAGGAAGCATTGCTGGATTTCCTCTATGCTTAGCTAGGAGGACAGCTTCAGGGACAGTACAAGAATAAATACGGGGTCGCACTGGCCCCCTTTTCACCTTATGGTGGAGACTCTCAAGACGGTGGTATAGAGAGGGACAGATCTGAGACTCCTGAGATATGATTACTGAAAGATATTCTTAGTGGGTGTTTCCTCTGAAATGCCCATTGTGGATCTTTCCCATCATGGGGAACACTAAAGAGACAGAAAAGGGAGCGGGCCTCACTTCACAGAGAAGAATGCCTTGTCCCAGTCGAACTCAGCCAAGAGCCAGAGTCCTGTTTGTGATTCGCTCCCCACACACAGCTCTAGAGGTACCCTTCTGTGTTTTGCAGATTCTGGCAGCCACCACTGACAACAACCGCATCCTTCTGGAGATCGACAATGCCAGGCTGGCTGCGGATGACTTCAGGCTCAAGTGAGTTTACTTTTTTTACTTCTTGCCCACAGACTCTTACTTTAGAGAAACACTTATTTGAGGGAGGACCCTGGAGCATCTAGGAGCAAAGGCCTTAAAGCAGCAGAATTCAGTGCAGGGGAAAGGAAAGGATGTGTTTAATACCATTTTGTTTTACTTCACTTAAACAAAAATCCAGGTATGAGAATGAGCTGTCCCTGCATCAGAGTGTGGAGGCCGACATCAACGGCCTGCGCAGGGTGTTGGACGAGCTGACCCTGTCTAAGACTGACCTGGAGATGCAGATCGAGAGCTTGAATGAGGAGCTGGTCTACCTGAAGAAGAATCACGAGGAGGTGAGAGAGAATGGCAGGTTGAGTCAGCTCCAGTGAGAAAGGGCAGCCCTCTGCTGCAGGTTGGCATTGCTGTCTACTGTGGGACCCTCACAAGCCTTCCAGAACATTCTGCCAGCACCCAGAGACCAGGAGAAGGAAGGAGGAGCTTCTCACATCTTCCTTTCCCACTCCACAGGAGATGAAGGAGTTCAGCAACCAGGTGGTAGGCCAGGTCAACGTGGAGATGGATGCCACCCCTGGCATTGACCTGACCCGTGTACTGACCGAGATGAGGCAGCAGTATGAGGCCCTTGCAGAGAAGAATCGTCGGGATGCTGAGGAATGGTTCCAGAGCAAGGTACTGGTCCTTCTACCCTACATAGCCAGGTGGTATTGGGTGGACACGCCCTCCTGGTCAGAGGCTTATTGCTGAGCTCCTCTATCCCCTTCTCCCCACTTGACTTTTAGAGTGCAGAGCTCAACAAAGAAGTGTCCTCTAGTGCTGCCAAGATCCAGACCAGCAAGACAGAGATCACAGAGCTCAGGCGCACCCTCCAGAGCCTGGAGATTGAGCTACAGTCCCAGCTGAGCATGGTACCCTCTTCCACCCCTGCCCAGTGGCCCCCACCACTAGTTCTCCCTCCGGACTGGTTCCCTATGTAACGTTTTCCTTGTCACCCCATCAGAAAGCTGGCCTGGAGAGCACCGTGGCAGAGACAGAGTGCCGCTACGCCCTACAGCTGCAGCAGATCCAGGGTCTCATCAGCAGCATAGAGGCCCAGCTGACAGAGCTCCGCAGTGAGATGGAGTGCCAGAACCAGGAATACAAGATGCTGCTGGACATCAAGACACGCCTGGAGCAGGAGATTGCCACCTACCGCAGCCTGCTTGAGGGCCAGGATGCCAAGTAGGTCCTTGGCACCTGCTGTCTTAAAAGTGGCCACAGGAGCAGTGGATGACAGAGCAGGCAGGGTCTCAGAGGCCAGTCCCCTCTCGTTTGAGAGGGGACAGCCTCTGTCTGAGCTTAAATAGCCTGGAAGGGGGTTTGAGAGGTGGCTCAGTGGTTAAGAGCACTGACTGCTCTTGCAGAGGACCTGGGTTTAATTCCCAGTACCCACATGGCGACTAGGAATCGTCTGTAACTTCAGTTCCAGGGGCTCTGACATCCTCTTCTGACTTACATGGACATTGCACGACACGGGTGCACTTACATACACTCAGGCAAAACACTCGCACACATAAAATATAAGTAATAAATAAAATATTAAAAAAATAGTCTGGAGGGAGAGCTGGGGCCAGAGCCCATCCTCATCTTTCTAATCAGACTGAGGGACCATTTCTCAGCAGGCTGGCAAGGACAGCACCTCTGTACTTCCCAATTCAGTCCTCTGTTCATGGATAGACAGGAATAGGGAAGGGGATAGACCACTTAATCCATCCAGGAAAACTGTTAATCGGGATGCAGCTCAGCCAAACAAAGCTATTAAGATCTGGGATGGACTTATAGCTCATTGATGGAGTACTTGGCTAGCATGTATAAGGCCCTGGGTTCCATCTCTAGGACCAAGAAAAAGCAAAGATGGTGATTTAACTGCTTTCAGACTGTTTGCAAAGACCAAACCACTCGGGGGAAGGAGGAGCATCAGGGACTGAATGAATCAGACACCCTGAATCTTAGGGCCAATAATATCTCCCTTTGAGGGTTTTTCAGACAGACAAATAGGCAAGACATGTAGATAGGCCCTGGGCTGGAGGCAATGTTGGGAAAGATTTCTGACTCAAGGCTCTGAAAGGTGACTGAGTCACTCAATCAGAGGACTAGGAAACACCAATCCTCTATTTCCCTCTGCTCATGACTGTTTTTCTCCTCCCTTCCAGGATGCCTGGCTTCCCCTCATCTGGAGGTAAGTGGTGGGGAGATGGTGTGGACTGATAAAGAGGGTAGATGTGGAGGTAGGGTGGGAGGGAGGCAGTACTGGCTCCCAAGTACAGGGATGAAAGGAGCTAGAGTAGAAATAGTTACTTGCTTATATATTTTCCTTTCAAAATAGATGTCTCTGCTCCATAGAGCCACTGAGATGTCTTAGAAAGCCACTGCTGGGGACAGTAGTAGAGTCTCCATCCACATATTTTTTTGGCCAGTGAGGTGGTGTGAGCCTTCCTGGGTACTTGGCCTAGCCTGAGGTGGGTCTTCCCCAGCCTGAGCACCCTTTATCTTTTCTCTGTCCCAGGAAATACCGGCTTCAGTAGCACCACCTCTACCTCCAAAACCTCCATCTCCACCTCTGCCTCTGCTTCCGGCCGAGCCAGTAACGATGTCCGCAGGTTTTAACTCTGCCTGGCATCCCTTCCCTCACCTTCAACAGCTACAGGAAGAGAGCTGATGGTGTCTGTGGGAGGGAGAGTGTGGCAGGATGTGAAGCCAAGTCCCTCTGCTCCCAGGACCCCTGGCTCTGACAACCCCTGAGGGTGGATCATCCCTGTTCTCTCCTGGTGGATTACCTCTCTTCCCGACCCTGCTCCTCCTACTCCTTGATCTCTCAACTTCTCTACTAAAAAGAACTGATAATTCAATAAAGTTACCTGCTTTTCTGCAAATATGTTTTTGTTTCTGGTCTGGTTTCTGAGGATGGCCTTTGCCAAAGGGCTGATTTGGGTTGTGGGTGAAGTGGCACAGATGGACTGAGTGGATAACAGGGCCAGGGAGACCATGTGAGAAGAACACAAGGCACATGGGTCACTGAGCACACAGGTGCAATAATGACAAACACAGAGGACAGGATAGCTCCCAGGTACTGATACCCACCAATCATGGACAAATGGAATTCACCAGAGACAAAGCAGGGACCAGTGAGTCAGTTCAGCAGCCTTGTAAGATGCTGGAAATAGAGGCTGGGGTTATAATAAAGTTGGGGTGGGGAAACGTGGGGGACAGATGCAGGGGGCTCTGGGCAGGCTTCCTGGTCCAGTCAAGGGCTGATCTTGGTGAAAGGAGGCTCAGAACAGATGTCCCAGCTCTAGCCTGCTGCCACTCTGATTCTTATATAGTGTGCTGCTTTCCAGGCTGATGGCCCCATTCTGTCCTGAGGTATCCATCCCATTAGTTTTCCTTGGCACACCCCAAGGTCTTGCAACTCAAAATGACTCTGTGACCAGCTCATGACTCACCTAGTTTCTCCATCTGGCTTCCTGGTCCCTGGTTTCTGATTTCCCTGTTCTTTCCTGCCCCTTTGGAGGCCTGGCTCAAAATACAGACTCCTCTTGCTGTGTTTATCCTGTGCAAGTTGACTGCATAAATGTTCTGTATTCTGTGCTCCCCCCTGCCCCCCACCCCCAGGCCATTCTGGACATGTCCAAGGACCTAACCACTCATATGTTTGTGATCCTCAAATCTGCATGTCCAAGGGAAGGGTCTCTTAGCTTCAGACCACCTCCCCCACTGTGCACAGGGCATCACCCTCTAATCTCCATACTAGAGGAGCCATCCATCTAGATTGTTCCTTCCCTGTCCCCACTCTTGAAGACCTAGAGTCCTAAGCCAGAAGCCAGGCATTGTCTTGGCCTCCTCCTGCCCCACCTCACCTTACATAAGTTCTTCCCATGGACCCTGTTTTAAGTAAAATGCCCTCCAAGGCTCTAACTCTGCACATGCTACAACCTCCTCAGTGGCCTCCCTGCTTCTAGTTTGGCTCTGACCTTCACTCTGGTGGGGGTGATGGATTGAAACTCAAAGCCCTTCTCTGGTTTAGAGATGCCCCTAGAGCTCCCTGAGGCTCTGAGGCCCTTTCCATTGAGGAAAGGTCAGGCTCCTTATAGTCCCACAGGTCAGATGATATGACCTCTCCCTGTCCCCTCTCCAACATTGGCTCTTACATCAACCTTCCCCATGAACCCCAAATGTTCTTAGTGAGCAGTCACGTGGTTGGATATCTGAGGGACCCTTGTTCCACGAGTCGCCTCAGTCTGACTCATTTCCTTTTCTTCCAGAGTCCATCTTTCTTTTATTGGAGACTACTAGGCTTTCTATTTAAAATCCAGATTGTGATAGATGCCCCCTCTCCATGGTAGCTGGATGCTGTGGGGCACCCCTGGGTGCTCACGTGCATGTACCTACCTGCCCCTATTTGACAGTGTTCTCCAAGGGGTAAGGCTTTATCTTCTCACCCTGGAGTGGGCTTAGCTGGTGCTTATTGAAGGGAGAAAGGAATGAATGAACTGGGGACCCTGCTTCTGAGGTGCCTTTTGACCAGAGGGTAAGAGGGGGGCCCCTGACACCCTTCTCACTTGTTCCCTTCCTCAGCCCTCCTTTCCCCTCTTTCTCCCTTTCCCTGTTTGCTCTCTGAAGACCCCCCCCC